TTCAGCTTTCTTGATCTAAAATTGACAAAATTAAAAGATAAAGTTACAAAATGATTTGATATGCATATACAATGTAAAAGGATTTTCCCCCATTGAGATAATTAACATGTCTATCGCCTCACACATTCACATTTCTTTTCTTTCTTTTCCTTTCTTTTTTTTTGTGTGTGTGAGACTTTTTAAGTTCCATCTTTTTAGCCAATTTTAATTATAAGGTACAGTGTTATAAACTATATTTACCATGTTACACATTAGCTCTTCAAACTTTATTCATCTTATAACTGAAAGTTTGTACCTTTTTCAGTGTCTCCCTATTTGCCCCATTCCCCATTCTCTGGCAACCACTCTTCTACTCTCTGCGTCTATGAGATCAAATTTTGCTTTTAGATTCCAAATATAGGTGATACTATTGTTGGGACCCAAGACAGGCCGCCCCCAAATATCCCATGATGGCATATAACTTAAGAAAGGCAGTAATGATTTATGCCCTGAAGTTCATGAATCTAATTATAATAGACTGAACTCTAGGTACGCACATGCACACTAGGCAAAGAGTTACGTAGCAGCCAAGTGTCAATCCAAATGACCTCGCATGCCAATCATCTAGGAATGCATTTGAAACCACCCATCGTGTTCCCCAAATAAAACAGACTTTCCCACTTCTGCGTGGTTACAGCCCTCTTCATTGAGACCCTGATCTTCTCTTTTATCTTTTCACCTCCCAAATTCCACAGGACTGCAGCCTTCTTTAGCATGGCCCATCTCCTTCTAAAGTATACTTTAATAAATCTTACTTTTTATAAATCCCACTGACCTGTAACTCTTTGTTGCGTCAGCAAAGAAGAACCAAGGAAAAATACGAATTGCACTTCTGCATTGTTGCCCTCTTCCCTCCCCGCCATGCTGCTGGGGCAACACTGGAGTTCAAATCTCACCTCACTAATAACAGTACTTTTTATTATAAGAGAGAAAGTTCTTCTGCTGTTAATTTATTTGTTTATGAAACAAATCCTTACTGACAATTACCAGGCCTCTTGTGAAACCTTGGGAATAAAACAATGAATGAGAAAGATAAAATCTTTGTCCTTAAGAGCTAACACATTCTAGTGGAGGGTGATAGATTATAAACAATTAAACAAATAAATGTCTATGCAATTTCAGGTTATGCTCTGTGCTATGCTGATGCCCACCAGCCAAAGACCACCAGGAATATACTTACACAAAGTCAGGGTTAGTGGGACTGGAGATCTCATCTGTGGGAAGTCATGGGGCCTCTCAATAGTACAGTACAAGTAGAGGCTTAATACTGAATTTTGGCTTGTGTTAGATGATTTGGAGAATATTCCAGAAGTGTAGTTTTGCTCTGGCTTAGGTGTTTTAAGTCAGCGTGGGCAATTCTAAGATTGGATATTACAGTAAGTTTTTATCCAGGAGGTAGAAGAATGGATCAGAGTTAAAGCAATAGTTAGAAAAGAAGAAGCAGTCATTCAAGTTATGTGGGGAAGGAGTATGTTTGATCACCTTTCGTGTTTTGCAGTGTTCTTGCTTTTGTTTTGCTCAGAAATGATTAAGTGATCTTATTTATTGTCTTTTGCCACCACGATTAGAAAGACCCTGTCTGAAGTTTTAGGTCTATGAAATTGTTTATGTTTAACAGGAGAACATCATGGTTCAGCCACTGGTTCCAGGCCAGCTCCTAGATAATGGCTGTCAGTGACTGAATTTCTTTTTGAAATGTGAAGAAATATAAGTAAATTAAATAGAGATATAGATTCGGGAATAAATGTTATTTAAGATAGGATGTTAAGAAAAGTCCTCATTGTACATACATGTGCAGATACCTAAATGATGTGAAGAAATAAACCATGAAAAGGCCTAGAGAACATGGTAACAATTAAAATAATGGTTGAGATCTTATATCAATGAGACTGAAAAGTGCAGTGTCCTGAATAAGTTAGAAATGCATTTTTCTTTCAAGTAACAGTCTGGTTGGTCCAGGATGGTGAAGTGGCTCTGCTTCACAAAGTAGCTAAAAGCCTTAAGCTCCACTAATCAGTGCCATCCTCAGAGAATGGTATCCATTTGTATGGTTAAAATAAATTCAAATTCAAGTCAAAAATTGAGGAAAAAGTCAAAATTCAGAGAATACGCTTTCTCTTTAGTTATAGAGGAGCCACACATTGTACAGTTTTTCTCCTCAGTATCCTATTAGCTCCAACTTAGTCATTCCTAGTAACAGGAAAGGCTGGAAATGCAGTCTATAACTGGATGACCTGTATGCTGAGGAAAAAGGATTTTCTGCCAGAAGAGCTTTCCAGAAAAGAACTTTCAGCAACTGTAAAGCCTATGGAGCAAAAATAAGCTGCATATATGTTAAAGGAATATCAAAAAGCCCAGTGTAACTGGAGGAGAATGAATAAAATTAAATTGAGAAATAGGCAAATGTCAGATCGCCTTAAGGCCTTCTAAGACAGAATTTGGGTTTTATTTGAAGTGCAGTGGAAAAGACATTGTAGGATTTTGAGAAGGAATTTCTGGCATAATATAATTTTAAAAAATTTAAATTGTATTCTGCTATATGAATGTAGATGGATGAAAACAATATTACAAGGAACAGCTAGGAAGAAATTGCCATAGTTCCAGAAAGAGAACTTGTGGCTTAGGGAAATAGTGGTAGAAGTGGCAAGAAGTAGATGGACTTGAGGTGTATTTTGAATGCGAAGCCAGCAAGTGTTCTTAATTAATGAAATGGCAAATGAAAAGAGAGAAGTTAAGAATGACTATTACATTTTTAGCCTGAGCAGGGTGTGGGACCATTTACTGAGATGGGGAAGTGAAGGAGTAAGCTTCAGAAGTGAAGAGACAATTTCTTTATTGAAATGAAAGAGTGGGGGATAACTGTAAGGGTGAGTGTTAGATTTGGAGGTAGGAAAAAGATATAATTTTCTTTTTATTTATTTATTTTTTAATTTTTAGTGAAGTAATTACAAAGTCCCCTGATGGAAGTAAGGAGAATGACGAACATTGCAATTCAAAGAAGAGAAGGTATAAAACAGCCATTAGTGAAAATTAGAGGCAAATTTATTAGGCAAATGTAGTAAGAGTGCTGGACTATATGCTAAGAGCCCACTTGGGATTTCTGATAACAAATGTTAAGTGTGACTCTTCAGCAAGTTTGGGTGCTTTTTTCCAGCTATGTTCGGCTTCTCAGCTGAGGTCAGAATCAGGAAGATTTCAGCTTAAAGATGTTTTCACGGGCTCACATAAGATAGGGCAGGGAGTTGAGGGTCACAAAGGAGTGATTTTATTTTTGAACTACAGACTCTAGGCCAAGTAAAAAGCAAAGCGAGGGCATGAGTAGAAAGTGAGGAGTAAAAAGAAGTGAGGACAATAGATTAGACAAGATGATAAATGTTGGAGTGAGAGTGCTAGATTATATGAACTGGAAAGAAAAGATAATGTTTAAAGAGTACCATGCTTAAAATTGAGATTTTAAAGAGATTTAATTTATTGGTAGTGAAAAATTCTATGGTATGACCATGGAAGTGACTGGATGAGATGAAATCAATAAAATGTTCATAGTTGGAAGTGAAGCTTTCAGAAACTGAGAAGGAAGATTATCGAATGTATTTTGCACAGGTATGTGGAAGTCCTCAAGGATAATGAATGAAATAAGTAATTCAGAGATAAGTAGTTGTTCAAAACACAATGGATTAATATGTGAAATCGTATCACGCTCTGTAGTACTTTTTGAATGAGAAAGAAAAAATGGTATGAAAGTGTCCAGAACTATCAAATTTGTTATTAATATGTTCCAGACACCATTTTAAACATTTTACATATTATTTTATTCTCCTCCAAACCTCATTATTTTCCACATTTTTGTGGTTGAGGAAATAGAGTTTACATAAGTTATCCAAGGTTACTAGTGATAGTGGAACTAAATCTGGGCATTCTGACCCTGGAGTATGTACTCCTAATTAATCCCTATAAAATAGTTTCCCTCATAGGATCACAGCTTTGGGCACTTTTTAATGTTGAAGTTCATAAGATACTGAAAGACAGTGGGGTGGTGGTTGTCGGAAGGGATAGTTTTACCAGAAAAACTCAGAGATCAGTGGGCCGCTCTTAAATGCTACTGAGTGGGGTTTAGCCCAAGGGAGGAGCAATCTCATCAAAAGGACATGGAGTTCTGAAAGCTCCTTAATTCCAGAACAACTCATAACCTGATATTTTCTTTCATAGATGACTGTGGACTAGGCGGTAGCCCTGTGAGGAGAGGTCTTCTTAGACCCCTATAAGAATGAGAATCTAAGATGCCACTATTAACGGTGGGATGTACAGGCTGTGAGAGCTTATGAGACCACCCCACCTTAAGTATGATCTTAAACAAAATATTTGAGGGATTATTTCAAGTATTCTTTTTGCTTCAAAAGTTTCCTCCCAATTGGGAAAAATATTAGTTGCACATATTCCTCAGTGAAGTTAAAACCAAAGCTATCATTTACTAAACAGAGTGTGAGGGGGACAAAAGTCAATAAAGGGTAACTCTTCTAATGGAAGTAAATTTGCAGAGAAACGTGGTTCTGATGGCTTGTCTTTTTATTAGCTATTAAGTTTATTTAACAGAAAAACAAATTCAGTCAAAAATCATTCATTAAAAGGCATTATTATCACTTGTTCATTAATCATTCTTTTAAGATAATTCTATTTTTACCTCCACATAGCTGAGATTAAGGAGTGAGTCTTGGAAAAGAGCATGCATTTCTTCCAATTAAAAAATGCCAGTCAAATAATAAAAGAAGTAATGTTACAGTGTTGCATTAATGATATGCAGGCTAGATTTTGCCATAGGACTCTGTTATAGTCTCTTACAATTTAATTTAAAATGTCAAATATTTTGACTGTTTAAACAACTCATTAAGTTCTTTGTAAAATTACAAAACGTTCTATATGTGACCTCATAAATATCTACTCCAATTATACACAACACATCATGCTCAAGATCTAGATTTATTTGAAAACATTTAGCCCAATTTATATTAATGCAGAAAAATCACATCCAATAAACCACAATGTAGCAGAGACAAAATAATTCTGTTTTGTCACATTTCCACACAAATATAATTTGATATTTAATTAAAGAATGATAAGTCACAATCACATGTAAACAAATATTCTCTCAGTAGTAGTAAGAACCTCTTTTGAGTATGTAAGGTCTTCTGGGTTTATTCTCATATAGCTGTCGTTTCAGAATGTAAGGAATTTTTCTCTTTATAACTTCTTCCTTTTCATTTTTGTCATTTCCATTTTCAAGAACATCTTCCTGAATTAACTGCAAGATAGACAGAATATGAATGAAATTTGCATGCATAAAGTCTTCCATTCCAGAGTATTTTTCTACATTTTATCTCATTTGCTATTTAGACAGTAAGACATGTGAATGAAATATATGAAGTTCAAAGCAATTAACTGTTTTGTCCTAGGACAGATGGCTATCAAGTGGCTGAGAAAGGATGAGAACATGGTTTTTCTGATTCTCTTTTCAGTGTTCTTCCTAGTTCATCAGTCTAGCCTTTTAATTTTTTTTCTTCATATGTCAAGACTGTAAACTAACGCCTCTAATTGAAGAAGCACACTTAATAGAACTGAGTATTTTTCAGGCTTTGATTTATGCTAGACTGAAATGTTGTAGAAATATAAATCACAACAAGTAAAAAGATTTGAATCTAGTAAACCAAGTTTGTCCTCGAAGGTAAACAGTATTTTATACTAAATTAAGTTATTTACTGACTTGACTTGAAAGCCATTCCAGAGATCCATTCTCATTCACAGAGGGGTTGCCTGACTAATTTACTCAGTCATAGAAATAAACATATGTGAAAGCTCTGTTTTAATGGTAAAGATCTCTTTAGATTGTAGTGTTTAATAATTAAAAGCAAGTTCAGATTCAATAACTCAAGGGAGCTAATCTCCAGGTAGAATCTTGTCTAATATCCCATGGAGTATGCCCCATTCTAAAAGTAGTACCAAACATTTTTTCTGATAATACCATTCTTATTTAATAATTTCAGCTAGCATAAAACTCTTTCTTCAGTTTTATACATAATTTACATGAAATTTAAAACAAACAAATGCTTAAGATAAGAATAGTATTCTTATTTGTGATAGTCTTCTAAACATTGGGGCAACTGTAACTAATACTGATAGAAGACTTTTTAATTATGATTTGTATGCATTGAATCATGTCACAAACTATTATTTTATTTAACCCACAGCTATTCAATTTCAGAGGAGAAAAAAAAAGCTAATATCAGACAATCTAGCTTCTTAATCTTTTGTTTCTTTCTGTGTGCAGTCTGGAATTACTCGTACTATGCTCTGAATAATATTTTTATTTTAAATCATTCAGTAATATTTAAAACAGCAAAGTCTTAAGTGCAACTGATTTAGTTATGTAATACTTTATTGAGAGTTTTTCTTCTGAATAAATAGAATGTAATTGACATTTCCCTATGTTAAAGTTAGTATTTTTCAAGTGTTTATGACTTAAATAACATTTTAAAGACTAAATCATTTAGCTGAAATTGGAATTAAGGGATGAATAGCCAATCAAATAAAATTAAAACTAACTTTTTGATTTTTCATCTAGAAAACATCTTTTGTTTATGTTAGAATAAACTCTAGAAGTTGTTTTGCATTTGTTCTTTTCCATAAGGTATCTGTGATAGTCAGTTATAGGAATTGTTATTTAGAAGAGATGGTACCTTCAGATTTTTAATGTTGATGTAAGTCCAGAATATAAAATATTAGGCAAATTTCTCTTAGAGATTATCTGAAAAAGTTGTTTCCCTTCTCAGAATTTAAAAACTTTTTTTTCATTTTTTTCTTTAAAGCATATTTCACTCTTCCAAAGGAATAAACGTTCCCAAACAAAAGGTGGCGAGTCATCAGCATACTATTTAATACAACAGATTCATCCAGTACTTCATTATTGTTCAGTATAATGGAACTAGGATGTCTTGGCTGTGATGGCTCTGGTTTAGCAGCTAAGGATGCCTGAAATCCATGCATTCAATTGAAATAGAAATAAAATATATGCATATATGT